TCGGGGTTCCCCACTAGATACAGTACTAATCGGCCTAAAACAGCCAAGCCCATGTCGATTCTCACTGGGAGTCAGGCCCGGTACTACAGCGCCTTGCATAAGTCCGTGAACGCGCGGATTTTTTTCTCTCCGGCGTCTAAACCACCCGACCTGCCTAAACAGGCCATATCACGGTCACAGGGACTACTCCATGACAGCGCATCACGGCCCTGTTGGTTGACCACACGCGTACCCAGGTAAATCCACAATGTTTTGAAGTATGGATATGCGTGCGGTACTTCCATGTCTGTATTTGAGTGCCCATTGGCCCCCAGGGGATCCTGTACCCTGATCTAAACAGGAGGTACCATAGTAAAGGTGCAGTCACATATACATGATCATGCTCTCACTACGGGCACCGCCTCAAATCGTTCTTTGTCAAAGGGCTGTAGAACCTCTGAGCAAGTACAACTTTCCCATTGCCGACCCTTCAGCGTCCTTTGGCACGCGTCGACAAAGGGACAAGTTACGACTGTCCCGAAAACAAACCTCCGTTTCACGCGAAGGGATCCCGAGCGCTGCCCGTCGTGTCTGGGCCTGTGACCATGATGTGGCCTGTTTAGGCAGGTCGGGTAGGGTAGACGCCGGAGAGAAAAAATCCCGCGCGTTCACGGACTTATGCAAGGCGCTGTAAGTAGCGGTGTATCACTGGAATGAATGGCAGAATACTGCGGGACCGAAGCAGAACAGCCTCGCCCGCCGAGGACTCAACGCGGCTTAGCGCATCATGCCTACACCGGTCATTCGTCTGATAGAATATCGTAATGGATTGACACGCGCCGCCGTGTTTGGTTCCCATGAGTAAGTGGAGGAAGATCCGTTATGTGAGATCTTCTAGTACACAGAGGGGATACTAGATCGTAGGCTCGTCCCCTGCCGAGATCCGGTGATAGCGATCCTCGTCAAACACCGGAACGGCTGGGCAAACTGGGCGCCCTCCTGGCAGGGTGCCCATATTTGGTACCCCGTGAGAGAACGTACTTAGTGAAATCTCAATCCAGCTCCCTAGGGATAATCGGGAGGCGGCTTCTCTTGTCAGTCTCTCCTACGTTGGTTCTTGTATGTCCTGTAATTAGATACATACTATAGTTTACATGAAGAATTGAGAGGATTCGTCAGCAGAACTAGAGTACACGTCTGAGCCAGAGCTGGTAGGCTGACTGGAGTACAGTAGAGGGTCGACATGCCGCTCTGCAGACACTTGGGGGGAACGGTTCTTGATGGGTTCAGGGGATTACAGGGATTGTTGTATGCGTGGTTGGGATGAGGGCTCAGAAAATGAGACAGGCAAAGATGAATAGACGATGTTAGGGTAGTCGTTTTGTTGAACAATGAAAAGTTGGTCAGACTGGGGATTGAACCCGGATCATCCCATATGCGCTGGGGGGTGTTACCACTACACCATCCAACCGATACTAGAGTGTGAATTCTACAGATTCCAACACGTTTGGTGTATATGGAGTCAAATAGTGGCCTTCGTACCCATGTGTGAGGATGGGTGTTGAAGGATGTTGCTGGGTGGGTTGCTGGTACTGAATGGATAGGGGTTCAAGGTGCGAGTTCCCTGGAGTGGGAAGGGGCTGCGAACGAGGGTAGTGGTGGTAGTGAGGGGGAAGTCGCGAGGGCGAGAAATAGGGGTCTGAGGGAATCCTTGAGGGAGGCGGATAGAGCGGCGATGAAGGAGGTGGAACGAGCGGTCGACGGACGCGATACAGAGGTGACGAAGGGACGGGTGTTGATGGGGGTTGGGACGAGAAATAGGATTGCTGGTGGAACATATACGGGGAGGTCCGGGAGATGTCTGGAAGGGCTGGCGTGTGTGAGTGAGGGGGCCAGAGAGAAAGGGGAGGTTGGGATTGGGAGAGGGGAAAGGACGTGGAGGGTGGTGGTCGCGGATTGGGCACGGCAAGTGCGCTCGAATGGGGGACCGGTTTTGCAGGTGGATGTGCGTCTATTCTTGGACGCTTTGGGGTCTCACCTGGGCCAAAGAGGTATGTGGGAGTGGGCGCGTGTTTGGATCGTGCGTTGGTAGGGAAGGGTTTAGGGAGTTGTTCGGGTACGAGGGCGGAAGGGAGAGCATGCTGGGCACGCGGATTGCTAGGGATCGCGGTGAACTGGATTTGCATGCCAGCGACAAATGCACCCAGCTCGTCAGCGTACATATGATGGAATGGCCACTTGTCTTGTATGAGGTTGAGGGCTTGCTGCGTGTTGAGACTGCCATGAGAGACCAACACCAGTATGAGATCGTCATCGAGGATAGACGTCTCATCGTACTGCGCGGATGCGTGATGTGTTTTGAACATGGCCTTGCGCCAGGTACGGAGCGTGTCGCGCACGGCCAGGTCTGGTTTGCCTCTCTTCAGATTGCGCGCACGGCATTCAGGTGGCAGTGGAGGCGGACGGGTGCGATCAAAAAGGGAGGGCACACAGATGTCACAACAGGGTACTGTAGGGGCTATATTGGATAGTCAAGAAACATTTTCGATGACCAAGTGATTAACTTACTGAGAGGGTAGGGGTTGTCAAACACGCGCGCCCACACTGCGCATCGACACGAGATACTCTGCACAAATACCAATAGGCCCTCATCAGCGCTGTCCTCACATAAAAGCGGCTGGGCACCATTCGGTATGGCATCAACTCCCTGTGATTCTCCTCGCAATAGACCATGGGCAAGCACATAATCTCGAACATCTGCCTGTTCGCGCTTCTCCTTCGGCGGGTCAGTTACGGGGTCCACACGCTTGTTGCCCTTCCCTTTTCCCTTTGAATGGGAAACGGAGGTCGATTTCGTTGTTGAACCGGAGTTGAAGATGTTGATATTATAGGCTGAGCGCTCCACTAGCAGGACAGCGACACCTGTCCGGCCTCTGCCCCGTGCAGCACATCCAGCATGTTGTATGAAGTGTGAGAAGGTGGCGGAGAGCTTCCATTGGATGACGCGATCAATGTCCGGAATGTTGCAGCCCTGATATGAATACAGAACAAGGTCAGCCACTCCCCGATGCACAAAGATAGCTTGGACAAGGGATGTAAAGCTCATTCATGCCTCACTTGGCTTGCTGATCTCGGCGCAGGAACAGGAGAAGTGGGGCGGCTGGATGAGCGGCAGAATTGCACATAGGGAATACACACCATTCCTGCGGTGTCCGTGCAAACCAGTATGCGGATTTTGCCGTCACAGAAGTGTGACATGGCCAGTGTTCGGTAGCGATGTGATAGCGTTGCGTTGAAAGGGCGCACAATGCCTCGGAAGGACGCTCGTACCTGCTCGGAGGCGGTCGCAATAGAGGAATTTTGGTCGATTCGATGGTTGAGATAGTCGATGATCTCACCGCCCGTAGCTATGTTGTCCACGTATATATATGTCTTGGGGATGTCGGTAATGGCTTGGAGGTTTGTGGGTATGGCAAAAGCGAGGTCAGCGAAAGTATTGAGCGGATGCTCGCAAGCGCGAACGATGATGGACACATTAGGGCGGTCGTTCCCTTCGTTTTGATAACGGCTTTGGGTGTTGGAGTGCGCAAAGTGGAGAGAGGCCCAGATGGCTCGGACGACGCGAGGGGTGAGGGTCGCAGAGACAGCAACTACAGGGGTGCCGCGGGGTAAAAATGCGCGCACCTTGCCAAGTGTACCGTACTTTTTTCGAAAGTCTGTGCCCCAAAGAACAATACAATGTGCCTCGTCAATGAATAAGGATATAATATCCTTCATAAAGCGAGTATTACGAAGGATACAGTTGGTGAACATGCGCGACTGGAGCATCTCCGGTGAGACGAGAATGATTTGATACTTGTATGAAAGTATGTCCTTTATTGAACAAGATGTTAGCTAAAATAGCATCAGTACGTTACGGAAAACATGCGCGTATGACAGAGGGGGAGCATGCCTCATTCTTGCTATTCAAGGCCACAGCCTGAAGGCCAAAGTCCGTCACAAAGGTTTCGCACTATATGGGTTCGTTATTCGTTTTTGCGGATCAAAGAGCATCAAAATTACCATTTCTTCCTCCAGAGTTAATAATGGGCAGACCATAATGGTGAATTTCTTCTCGTTGCCAGGCCAGAGATGAGGTCCTGCCGCGAGAGCCGTCTTGCCTGCACCTGTTGGTGCTTGCGCCACCATGTCCGTCCCTTCGAGCTGGGCCTGGACAGCACGGAGTTGGAAGGCCTTGGGGTCTGCATCCCAACGGTATGCTGTATGCATTTTTTCTGCGAGGATTCGTAGGTCATCTTCAGAGAGCTTGGAGCAGCGAGCAGGAGGCGGGTCACCCTTCCTGAGAGTGCCATGGCCATGACGTAGCCCACCGGAGGAGGTATTTGTCTTGGGAGGCATGGGCAGGGAATAGGAGAGTATTGTCGAGACTTTCAGAGGCTCACAAGCGACGACATTGCAGAGGGGGCGGACGTCAAACAGGCGCTATCAAGGAGCGCCCATCAGCCTCCTTGGCCTTTGCGCAACAATCTTCGCATTGCTATATTCTACGACTACATGAATAACACGCTACTATCTGCTGCGTCACAGACACCTGGAAATCGGCATCAAAATGGCGGATCCCAATATTCTAGATGGCTTGCTTACCCTGTCTCCTTTGCCTCCTTCGTCGCCTCTCAGTGAACTGTCCGCAATATCGACCGACCCGCTAGAGCCGATAGATGAGACGGAACACGGCGATGCGGAACGCGGCTGTCAAGAACGTCTGTGTCTTCTTGGTGGGGATGACATCACTGTCACGGACGTTGGACAGACGCCCCTTTTTGCCGCCCATTCCCCTCCCCTTGACGCCCACCTTCCATTTTCGGACCATTTCCTTTCTTAGCCCATCCCAGTTTGGACACTGCAGATACGTTCCCACACCCGCATGCTACGTTCCCGTGATCGCCATGCCTTTGCCTTTTCCTTCCCGCCCTTTGTTCTCCCTTTGTCATCTTCACTGCCTCGCTCTCGCGCCTTGTCTTTGGTTGCTAAGCAGCCCTTCTAGTATATAAGGACCCCTTAGGCACTCCCTAGTCCCCATCTCGACCTCTTGGTCATTGGGACTAGGTGAGTGACCATAGCGTTGTATCTCCCTCCGATTGCTAATGTATAACTTGGTCATTGGGACTAGTCTGTCGCTGCCTGCGTGAAGACTAGCTTTCGTAGGTCTCGTGCCTCGTGCCGACCTCCGCTCTG